GGAGATGATGTGAGGAAGAAATGAAGGCTTGTGGGCAGTGGTGGAGCCAATTTCAAAAGACTGCAGAGAAAAGAGTGAAATGGTGACATGCAAGTAAAGCCCTACGTTCCACTAGGAACCCAAGGGAAAAATAATAATAATAATATTTTTTAACAAAACCAACTGAAACTCAGTGTTGAACATATATAACGATGCCCATATTTTTGACGCCATGAGAATAAGTTCTGTGTTGAGTTTACGTCTATTAGTGAATCCTAATTCTGCTGATTAGTGTTTATTGATTATGCTCTTCGATTACTAGAGCTTAAATTTAAGTTAGCCTTAGGTGGCCGTGATCATCACAAACAATGGTGGGTGATGAAAAATTCACTAACATTACTTAAGAGTCGAAATCTGGTTACCTATCAAAGAATAAGTTTGCTAAGACAGAAGGTCCCTGGGTCTTGCCTTAATGCTTTTAAATCTATCTTTTAAAGATGAATCACAACGGAAGTATAGGTCAGGGGGCATCCTTCTAATGTTCACTGTGTTTAATGGCACCATATTCCGATCAACTTTGAGGTTATATGTAGGATTAAAAACCAGAGAAACAAGTTAGTGGATAAAATTATGAAACTCCATCAACCGATATGACTGAGATGCATTTTTGGTTTACCAACCTATCATCTACTCTGAAATATGTAGACAACCTGAAAATGTGTACTATAAATTGAAAAGGCTTAAAGTTTACCTTATCTGACCATCCTATAGTTTTTAAATCACACATATACGATGTGAGTACTTTTTATTTTTGTTGTAATCGGTTAAATGTAGCTGGAGACTGACTGAAACAGTCTAGATACATTTATGCTGTGCTTACTGATAAGCTTCATGCGACGATATTCTTTTGTGCATTCATACCTTTTCCTCTTCATGTCGATCTCCCAGTTCATTTTCATACCTTTTTGTCCACTTTGTTTTAGGGCTTTTCTTTATTGCTGTTTGTTTTTGTAAGTGAATCTTGGTGGAAAAAGTAAGCGGGATATTTACCCATGAACATATAAACTACACGTGTTTTGGGAGTGGGATTGTCTGGATTGATCACTCAACTTACAATTAATCCAACTCCATGTGCGTAGATTTCAACGGCTGACCAGTTTTCAGTAGACGTCAGACAATAATTGTGGTTTGTGCTGTAGTACATAGAACGTGATCATTGCGTACCTTCGCTGACTGTTAATTTTATTTCTAATGTTTTCAAAAAATTAGGTGAAAAATGACTGCATCTTCGTGTCACCATATTTATTATTAACCACATTTTTATCCTGATGACAAAAGTATAAAAATTTGAATCAAATCGATTTCATGCTGTACTCCTGCTAACATTTTGAGTACTCTGTGTATCGAATACACTGCTTACATAGACAACATTCAATGATCTATTGTGAATGCTTCCAGGTTTCAGCTTTTTATCTACAGAGTTGAAAACGATTTCATTGTAAATGGGAAACGTATAGTCTCATATTCCGTACCATATAAACTTAGATGTTGATTAAGTCCGTGTGTCAAAGGTATGGATAACTTCACTCATTTTCATCACCATTATTGGTTTTCGAACTCAAATTCACTGAGTTAACACAATTGAAATAAACTGATTGGGAAACTTGTTATTGAAGAGTCTGATATTTCAAAAAAGTCAATGCAGGTAAACTTATCTGCCGTTTTTTGAGGACTGCTGCTTAGTAAAAAATATTCTGATGTAGATTTACAGCATCATCAATTGTTGATTCATACTATTAGTGTTTATTTTTAATATCATTTTACTTCTGATACTCTTCTGTTTGTGTTGGGGTGTGATATATGATAACTTCAATTGATCCACTTTTGTGCGAGATGGTTTTGCATTGTTTGAGTGCTACTATTGAATAACTTCAAAGCAAGACATTCATGTGGAAAAGGCGTTATTATTTCTAGTCGTGATGAGGTTTTGTGTGGTTGTGCACAAAAGATAATTATAACTTAACGTATAAGTAGAGTTGTAGTTTATCGGTCTAAGATATAACTTTCAACCAGGCTTGCACACTACTTCACCTATCGAATTCTGCTTAGCTAGGTAGTATCAGTTTATGAAGCTGACGTCAACTTTTCGCTATCAGTAAATGTTGCTAACTATCGGTTACCGTTGCTTACGTATAAGGTTCCCTGTCATCTATCTGGGATTTTCAGACCAAGTAGTCAGTACTTTCTCAACGGGATTGCCTCAGTGTATGATTTCTATAATCTAAGATCTGTAGATGAACATCTACAAGGTATATTCAACATGATCTTACTGAATAACGTAGGCTAACACAAATGTTTTAAACTGTTCACTTATGGATTCTACTACAAGGAAGTAGTTTTGTAATTTTGTTATAGTACACTTTTCAAGCTTGTTTTTATTTCCGTGTAAACGGAGTGTTTCAATCTTCAGTTCGCTACTTACAGATCCATTTTCTTAAAACAAACAAGTAGTAACAGCTTTACATAGATTATTTTCTGGCCTGCATTGTGGCTACTTTTTGTAAATAATAAAATGCAATAGAAGATGTGATGCATACAACTTAACAAAATTGAGATAGTTGAGGTGCTGATTATATGATTAGATTGTCTGAGAAGCTAAATTTCAAGTGTGCTGAATCCTATCTTGTGTGTGTGTTTAATGTGCAAAAATTATTTTTGGCTTAGTTGTAAACATATTTCATCCGATTACACAGTTATATGACAGGTTGATGGTTGTAAACAGTAAAGGTCGGAATTTACTAACTACGTTTGCTTATAAAAGAACTCTAGCACTATGGTGTGCAAACTTTCATAATTTTTTGTGTGACCAATATCTTGAGGGTCTCCTATGGGAAAGATCAATCAGTTAGGGTAGGATTATGCATTAGATTATTATCTAATCACGTAAGGCTAGATTAATATCGGTCCCACGATGTGCTTACGGAAATACGCTAATGGTATCTGACCTGGTATTATCTTCTTAACCTCGCAAGGTGTCACATGTCACCTCAACATAACAAAAAAGAAGATAGAAAGAAAGAAGACAAAGAAATGAAAATAATATCATTCTCAGCAGTGGATATTGAAGCAAACGTCCAAATATAATATAACCATTGAGATGAAAATAAGATGTAAATGCATCTGAACTACCTTGATTCATTGTCAACAGTATCAGCTACATAGACAGACACCTCAACTTAGAAGCTGAACAAAAGTGAATCATTTCAAGTTACTAAACTTCACAGTATCATCCAAACGACAAGTGGATCGAAGAAGTGATATCGAAGTAGACAAAAGTGTATAAGAGAGAGGATAAAGAAAGCGGCAAGGTTTGTGAAAGTGTGTTCAAGATTTAGAAGACATCGAGGAGTGGATACATCTGCGCCATGGTGATCAATTTTCATCCATGTCACCAAGGATCTCCAATTATTGATTCCTATCGTCTTGATGACCCCAACAAGGCAGTCTACACCTCCCACCATGTCACAGATCAGCAGTCAAAAACTTCATGGATCGGTACTACATCATAATCTAGTCACCCCTCAGCTTTGTGTAAACATATTTTTTACACCGGGTAACATTGCACGTGAACATAGGCAGTAGCTTGGCATGCGCAACACATGTCTATGGTTAATCGTCATATCTCTCTTGTATTTTTTCCATCAAAATCTATTTTGTTGTAAAGGTGACGGTGATCATATATACCTGAAGGTTTCTCGAATTCTCTGTCTTTTATCACTATGTCTCATAGGCATAAAGAGCGACAGAGCAGATCGCTACTCAGCGCATTTGACCCTTAATAAGCATTCACGTATCTCGTGTTGTATTTTGATGAAAGCCAGTTTGATACGTTCATTGACAATTTATAGTCACTTACTGACTGACTAGAGTTGACCTGACTTTTCCTATAACATAAATAGTTAGCTCAATGAATGACTTCACTCCCTATTTACAGACCAGGTATCAACATCAATCAGCTGTGATGCAGAAATTTACATTTGGTTGATGAGAAATCCATTCTAAGCATACTATCGGATTATTCACTTAATAATTTCGGTTAAGTGAAAGTTCCACTAGGACAAGAGTTGAGATTAAGTTTATATTCCCATTCTGCCTCTTTTTATTTATATTTTTTCTTATTATTTTAAATGTTAAGGCCATTCCCATATTGATGTTTCTTAGTCATATGAGTGTAGTACACGTGATCAGATGTTACATTTACTTGTTCTGTTGTAATTCACTTCTGGATTTTAAATTAAGACGTTTATTGGAAACTAGTCTATTTATTGAACATAAATGATTACTACTGCCTATTACTTTTATTATTTAACCTTATTTGTTTTAAATTCCAGTCACTAATTTGAATTCTTAAGGATATTTAACGAATTCTGTATAGTAACAGACACCAATAATTAGTTTATAAGTATGTTACGTAAGGATTTCCTGAGGGTCAGGATGCTTTCTTGGCACTCAGAAAAGGTCACGTGGTTGTCTTTGTAGACAATGTATTGATCTTTTAACTTGACGTTTAAGTCGTAATCGGACAGTCTAAAGAGCTGGATTGCTATAATTTACGGTTGTCATAGTAAGTTCACACTCTTTTGCCTGTAAATTTTTAAAACCACTACATTGAAATCACGGTTGTTTCTTCCTTCCCCCAGACGCGCACTTCACACCCACCGATTCAATGAAATAACTTGGCAACAGTTCTGTCGTTTCTGATATTCACACAATTTTGTTTGAAGAGTAGCTATCATTTTATTTCAATGTATCAGTAAGGTCAGTTCTGTGCATACATCATCTGTTAGTCGATCATCCTTGACTAATCTAGTTCCCATTTGATCAATAATGAATGTAGTATTTTTGCATACAAAAAGCATTTAGTAGTTGCCATCTAATTATCATCTATTATCCCTTTCCTTCTTTTCTTTTCCTGTATTTTTATAAAAATCCTCCATTCAAATAATGCACATGTAAACAAGGTCTGGAGTTTTTCGAAGCATCAGCAAAAGAAAATATCAATGTGAAAAATGTCTTTGAACGCCTGGTTGATATTATATGTGATAAAATGTCTGATAATATGGATAATAATCCAGCTGTAGCTGGTGGTGCATCGAAAGGTAAGCCTTTCTCTCTCTCTGCATTATATATATATATATCAATTACGCATTATTTTCTTATTGTCATAAGGGTGAAATATGCTCACATAAAGATCTAAACTTTTGTGGGAATTAATTTCATAGGCTTAGTTGAGGTAATTTAAGATTAATTGCTTAACTGGCAGGAATATAAACCATGGAAGTATATCCTTGTAGACCGTGGAGATTTTTTACTCTTTAATCCGTAAAGTAAAATTGGAAAAGTGTCTAGAAGCACTCATAGTCAGTCGCTTAGACTTAAGCCTTCTTTCACCATCTCAGATGTCAAATATTTCGATTCTTTGTTAAACTGTTTGCATGCTCGTATAGTTAGGTTTATTCTAGAGTATTGTAAGACCTCAAGGTTAACTTTAACCGTACAAATAGACTTGGACTTCTGTGCATAAACTAACCATGATACGAAAACCTTTAGTTGTATGAGAACTGGAGAGTTTAATCAACTTTCTCTGTCTTCAGCGTTCGATATCCAGATACAACTAAAAAGGTAATAGGAAAGTTTGCGACCGAATAACTAGATATCACATACGGTATTCAAACTCACTTGGGATTTTTGCGATTGATCATGAGACTGATGACAACTGATAACAAATCTCAAAGAAGAACGATATGGTTGTGTATACTACCCTGGAGAAAGAAGTGTTTAATCCCATCAAATTCACTTAATCTCTGATTTTCTAGTCGTGATATGATGGTACATTTCTATTCATCCATGTTGGTAGCTTTGACTCATTTGTTTAAGTACTTTACACTTCTATCCAAGTGGACCATGGGTTCCAAACCATATTCCCACCTACATGGCTTTGGTCAGCTAGTTATAATTATTTGCCATCATTCGATAGGTATAACTCAAAGCCTAGCACACAAATATGTTACTCTTTCCTATCACCATTATGCACAATTCATCGCTTTCCCACTAATATAAGTGTAAAGCTTGGACGCTACGGTAGAATTCAATTCCATATTGGGTTTTTTTAGTTTCGTATAGCCAGCACACAGAGATACAGTATTACTCATTGAATAACTTTTCGAGCATAAATTATTGTTCATAATCACATCGAAGTAATCACACAGCTTGCAACGTCTAGTCTCATCACCTCGTATCCTCTTTTTCTTCAGTGGTAGTAAATTTATCTACATCTGTGACAGGTCTTGCTTCATTCATATTACATGTGTGTGGGTATGATTTCGATGAATAAAGATTTGGTGGTCAATCTCTTTCCACCTAACTATATTGAATCTCTCACCCTATTGTGTGGTTGTGTCAGCTCGTACAGTGCAATAGCCGAGTTTCGTTTTCTAAACTATTGATCTTAGTTGGGTCTATCATTCTAAATTTCACTATGCTTCAATAATCTAACAGCTCCTGATCGGCTAGTTTGAGTTATGTATTTGACCTCACAATCATTACATGTTATTCAGTAGGTCAATTTATTTTGTTTAGTTGAGTCAGAAAAATCCCTAAGTCGACATAATGTATCACTGTATGCGTTTGTCGATTTCATTACAACAGGAATTCCAGCCTTGTTGGGAACTGTCAGTAAAATTTCCGGTTTTCCTTCCTCATACTCAAACTTAGTGATCTACAGATGTCACTCAACTGCACTTGTACTGTGTATTAACTGAAGATATTAATCCTCCAAAGCAAATTTATCCAAACTTCCAGAGAACTTTGTTTTCGTTTTGATCAATCATAGTGCACCAATCATATGCACAGACGTGTATAGCAGCTTTGGGTATTTCGTTTTCTCAACCCATATTATTTATATATTGTACATCTTTGGACAGCATAGCAACTTGAACTCATAACTTCTTAATTGTGCGGGCTGACGTAAAACTGAACATGAGAACGGAAAGATAACTCACAAAGATTTTTTTGGCCCTTGAATCATAAGGAGCTACAAATAATCCTTTGGAATGTCATTATCCATATCAAACGGTAGTCGATAAACTAATTATCACAGATATAAACCCTTTAACTAGCCTTTTACTTTTCTAAAGTACTACTCAATGTTTAAGGTTATCTAGTAAAGTGAAAACATTTTTCAAAACTATGGTTTTTTACTTGGTTGTGGCTAGCAGAGGGATCCAGGAGGCGCGTTTCGTCCTACCTGGGACTCGCCAGCCGGGCCTGCTTGCACTCCACTGAGTGATGTTGTTCCCGCTGAGACTCGAACGTCGTACCCATCGCTTCAAATGCCAAAGCGTTATCCACTAGGCTGTTGAGGTACGATAGCTACCTCTTGTACAACGGGTATTAGCTACAACTATTTGTTAATATGCTTTCAAATTTCCGTTGTTATCGAGGTGTCCCTATAAGACCCCATGTGCTAACAGCGGTCGAGGAATTCGATCCAGTATAACAACGGAGAATTACAAGTACATCAACAAATAGTTATTTTTTAAAATTATTGGAAGTCTGAAGAAATTTTTATAGAATATGAATATTTCCCCTTATATTTTAGATAGTTTTAGGCAGTCGATCGGAATTAGAAGATCTTTAGTCTTGATATTTATTGACATTCTCCATTAAGTCATGTTGCATCTTCAAGACTGTCAGTTCCCCCCACGAGGTAGTAGATACGCCTTACTATGATCATTACCTCCAACCATTCAACATCATTCAAAGTGTACCCCACTGACAAGTTTCCTAGTGTGATAAAGGTATATGTAGATAGTCGAAATTGTTTCATTGCACAGGATGAGACAACATGATTAAATGCTAAATTACCTGTTTAGTTCCTTTAATTAATCTCTTCTATAAATTGCTTGTTGTGTAACAAAATGCAACTGAAGAAACATGTAAATTCCTGTAAGTTATCAGGGGAACGTATTGGTTTATGAGCTGATAATTAAACTTAGTTATTCGAACCTAAGTACATGGAACAGGGTTCGAACCGTAAACCGACTGGTTAGTAGTCGAATGAAACTTTCTTCTACTTAACAACTTGAGTAGTTGTAAATCACTCAGGCTGATCTGCAGTATTTTGTCAGCTAGGTTACATTAATGTTGCTGCCATAGTTGGGCAGTTGAAAAATTACTTAGCTTTTAGAAATATCATTGTGAACCCTGGAATTTGTAAATCATTTACAAATTTTATTATCCTAAAAGTCGAATGCTCAAGTTCATAGGCTACAACTGCATACAAATTAATCATTGTATTTACATATATTTTTCCTCAGGAACTGATTTCATTCTTGAAAAGAGGAATCGAATCTGGGGGTTTGTGTGAATGTATTCATTTTTAAAACTGGTATTCATCATAGACTGACATCAGTTGGAGGAACATTGGAAACGTGAGAGTACTGGACATCTGTTTCATCCTAGTATGTGACACCTTAACAGTTCGTACCCATGTCAGTCCATAATGAATACCAACTTGAAAAAATAAGAATTATTGAAAACTGAAAAGTACTAGATAAATCTCTCCGTTTTCACTAATGTTGACTTTCCCCCATAAAATCTCAATAATTGGATCTCCTGACGAGCTTGTTGTCACCTTGTTTTCCATGAGACAGAAACACACAGATGACAGTTTTCACGTCTATATAATTTTTCGTCTTTTATATGTTGTTAGTTGCAGTAATTGGTCAGTTTATTTAAACTCTGTATTATTCTGCTTACTTTTTCTCTTAAATCAAATTAGGTAATCGTCTCACCGATAAATCTCAACAACAACAGCAACAACAACAAGGCCAGTGTCAGTGTTAAAGATATGTGGTTTAATACGATAGGAAGTTTGTGCTTTTTCTTTCTTTTACTAAAACCGAGTCCAAGTATATACATAACTAAAGTCTCCAAGTAATATCAGATATTACGTTGCTTCATTCATTCCCTTCTCTTTTCGCGAACAGTCATTCCTAGTATATATGTGTGTGTGTGCGTAGTTCATGTTTACACCTTGTATATCGCATTGGCGCTGACACAGATGATTGCATGTAGAAACAGTAGAAAATTAAGAGTGAAAATCACTGTTGTTTATTTATCACTTGTTTATCTAAAAATTTATCTATCCATCATGTATAACTCAAATTACAAAACACACACATACATACAAATATCTATAAAACTGCAATAGCTTTATTTTCCAAAATCAGTACAAAAGATAAAGAGATGCATTTTACTTATATATTTACTATTATCACTTATACATTCCTGTGTTTTACTTGTCTTAAGAAATTTTTGTGTACCCCTACTCTCTATCTCTCTCCCTCTCTTAACCGTCTCATTATCTGTTCACTAAACACTTGCTCACATACTACTACTATAACTTTTGGATGGCATTCATTTCAGCAGTTATTTATTCACTTTTATATTATTATTGTGTCTTCTTTCTTACTATGATCATAATGGTTGTGTCAGATTAAAACAGACGAACAAAACGACTTCTTTCTTCCCCTCTATTCTTTTCACCGTAGGTGTGACCAGTAGTGTGAGCTATTCTCCACTTTCATTTGTTCATCTCTATATCAATCCCACTGCATATAATTATTAGCTACTCTGAGAAACTTTTGAGCATTTTATGTCTTACTTTGAACATATAAGAGAACACGAATTGATTAAACAGTTGAACTTGATCACTGTGTCACGTACGTGTTCAACTCTTCCATGCTTACCATCATGTGGTGTATTCAGTTTCTGTTCGGTGCATATATTCCTTCTCTCTCTCTCTCTTGTTTTGTTTATTGATCATCTATTTATTACATTCCAGACGGTGATACCTGTTAATTGTTAAATCGATTCTCCTTTCTTTTTACTTTGTATGCTTTATCTTTCACCTTGTGCACAAGTGTGTGTGTGTGTTATTTATTTGTCGAACAGTTTTGTGTTGCTTCACTAAGTCCCACTTTTCAATCGGTGTCCGCGTATTTGTGCTTAAATGTATATACACATGATCGACGTCTACCCACCGTATCTATTATTATTATTGGATAGATCGATAAAGGCACGAACTGTTCGGGTAGAGAAAACCTTCATATTATTTAGTGCAATATTACAAATTTTGTTAAATTTTACCTGCCAACTTCTTCCAATTATTATTATTTACCTTTAGCACACTCTTGCTGCCTGACAATATTCAGAGTTGCTAGCCTTTTCTTGTAGAACCTCATTTTCTTATTCATCTCTGAATCAAGCTTCTTCTTAGTCAATTACTGCAACGATATTATGATGAGTACGTCGACCACAGTGTTATCATAATATCTACCTTTATTATCTGTTCAATACTATACAAATGTTATCATTCCTGTTATCTCCTAGCTCTTTTATTTGCTTATTTATGAGTTTCTTTTTTGGTTACCTCCTACACATTCCTGTCATGGTTGTGGTGGTAGTAGTTGTTGTTGTATTGTCTTATAGTCTAATCATGTCTACAACTTATCAAAAGTTAGATGAAAGCACAATATTGACTTTCCCTTCCTCCTACCACTTCAATTTTTGACAGGGGAAAATCATTCCTATAGGGATATTTTATCCCGTTTTCTTGTTTCTATTTTTCTCCTCTTCTACGCTCCTTTTCTTCTTTCTCTTCACCACCACGTGACTACTTTAACTTGTCTCTTTCCCTCTCTTCCATTCTCAAATATCTACAGCTGCATACATACACACTGACAAACATTTAATCATCCATCCATACATCCTACTGCTAATACTTACTACCGCTACCGTCCACTCTGAAAGCGATGCATAATTAATCTTTCTAGATAATCTTTATTTCATGAGTTTCTGTTTCCAAAATAAATGAAAATAAACATTCTATTTAATTAATTTTCAAGTTATTAGAGATTTTATCTATATGGTAGTATTCATCATGAAATGACATCAGTTGGAGAAGTATTGAAAACTTGTCAGCACTGTACAGCTGTTTCGTCCTATTATGAGACTTCTTAGCAGTACATACCCACGACCCCACCAGGGATGGAACTCAGGACCTTAAGTTCTTACGGTGAACGAGTTAACCATTCAGCCACTGGGTTGATTAATTGTTTTACATTACTTGCGCCGCATCATCTGGGTTGTTTTCTACTGATTAGATGTAACTCTTGTAGATATTGATTTGATGGCATATTTTGTAGTACTGACTTAGACACGCAACGTGCAGTTAATCACTGTTATTAATATTCACTGCTAATTAGTCTGGTGTTTTACACGTCTAGTGTCTTTTGTTTGCTGACCCTCGAAGATGATGAGATTTTGATGAAGTTAAAACTAAGCGTGAACTATAAGTCATATATGTCAATGTAAGATGTAACGTCTGTGGGTACTCTAAAAATGTTGGATTGGTTATTCCGGTACCGTCAGTTGATATATTTGAACTCAACCGTAACATTTATCCGATGATTAGTTTGCTGAGTACTGTTTGATTAATCTTCGGTACATATGATATTTAGGTGCACCGCCAATATTGTGCTCCATCTAGTCTTTACAATCTTCTTTCATTCTCAGTTTTTAAAAAAATGAAATGTAGTCATCAGTCTTGTGCACCTTCTTCCGGTAGGCAATGAGAAACACTTATTGTGAGAGGGCTAATGATACTACCTGACTGCCCAAACCTCGGTAGATGGAACGGGTCACAAACTCATCTCACCCATTGGTCGAAAGTCATCTAATTAAACCAGTCAGTCTCAGGTCATTCCCAGTTAGTCAGTCCATAATGACATGGGACCTGGAGTTACTGTCTAGAAGTCGAAGTTGCTACATCCTACAATAAGATAAAAGATTTGGAAGGAAATGTAATCAAAAGTTGTATCGACTCATATGAAGATAGGGTCAAAGAATAATGAACTATGACATGATTCAGATGCAGGTAGTGTGTGGATGTCACTGTACCACTGAGAGCGATTCCAAGTCATGTCACAATAATTCAGTTTTTGATTTCTTTTTCGACCTGTGTCGAAAGGGTGTTTTTGCTAACATTAGTGAGAAATCAGATTTCAATGCTGTAAATTTTCCTCAGCTTGATATGTATAAGAAGTGATATGCTCGATTATCTACCAACTAGAATTGCTAGTTACCTCATATTCCCACAGTGAAACCAAGAATGGTACTTCCAGTATTCTATTTTAGAATGAAACCTTCAGGAATTAATGAATTACTTATTTGCAATCAAGCTTACTAGTTGGGTTTCTTCACTGTTTGGTATGTAAAGGTGCACGATCAGTTCTTCACAAAATCCTGTTAGATATACCAAATGTATGGAGATCGAAAGTATGAATATATGTTTGGATTCTCATGTCCATGAACTACTTAGGGTTGGCGCAAACAACTTACATCGGATTCCGTAAGACCAGCAGACATTGCGATGGCGTAGGCATAAAAGATTTCATGAAAATAACACTAATAAACTGTTAGAAGTGACAAAACCTGCAGCTATTTTCATATTTTGTCAATTCGAATTTCAAAACCAAGTGTAAATCTGACAAAAACAAATATGAAATGAAATATAGACAATCGAATAAAGTGGAGGGAGACACTCTCCCACATTATTAACTACAAACGTCTCAGAAAGGCGGCAGAATCGAAAACAGAGGAAGCGAAGACGGGACTTCAAGTGAATATAGAGAAGATAGAGGTGATAATGATACCCAACCAACAACAACAAGCTCCAGTCACCATCAACGGGAGAAACTTAAAGGAAGTAACCTCCTTCACCTATCTAAGAAGCACTGTTTCAACTACAGGCGACACAGACGAGGATGTCAAAGTCAGAATCGGAAAAGGGAGAGAGGCGTTCATCAGCCTGAAACCAGTGTGGAGATCTTCTGCACTCCATTCAGCATACAGCGTGAACAAGATCCGGATTTTCAACACCAATGTCAAGTCAGTGCTCCTGTGTGGTTCAGAGACTTGGTGCGTTACGAAAGGGATTTCCAATAAACTACAGACATTCATCAACAACTGCTTACGCTCACTCGCTACTGAAGATCAGATGGCGAGAATAATAAGAATAAGCAACAAGGAACTCTGGCTGGGAACGAACCAACGAAGTAAGGAGCTATCGCTCAACAAACATGCAGTGTAAGGAAGTGGAGATGGATTTGGCACACACTGAGAAGGCCGACTGAGGACATCACGCGTCAGGCCCTCGAGTGGGACCTATATGGGAAGCGACGAGTTGGGCATCCGTGGTGAGGGTGACATGGAGAAGGTCGTGCGAGGATGGAATGAGAGGTTGTGGGGTGTCGTGGAGCCAGGTTGAAAATATTTCAGAGAACAGAGTTGTTGAAATTGCTTACCTTTCGACTGCATGTCGGCGTGTTTACCTATGCGTAATGTATGGGTTGCAGGACACTTCTCATGCCGATGGTAATATAAGTACGGTGTGCTAAGGCATGCCTTGATATAAATGACACTGAGATACATTCTCATGCTGACCAAAAAAGAAGAGATATATATATATATATATATATATATATATATATATATAATATCTGATCAATCGATAGTCATAACGAAAGCAGACGAAGGCAATACCATAGTCGTTTTGAATGAAGAAGATTATGAAAAGATTGTATTAGACCATTTGGAAACCGGACCATATGACCCTATCCTAATTAATAAACATTTGAGTACATGAAATAAAATGAAGCATGCGAACTGCTCAAAGAAGTGAAACTCAAACTTGGAAATGTAATATGGTTTTCATTAGCTCCTAGGACGAATATAGCCACTAGATCCTACAGTAGACAGAAAATTCATAAAGCGGAGATTCT